CTACTTTCGAATCCTAACAAAAGTTGTTCCTCTTATTGAGACAAGTAGGTTTACTTAGTACCAACTTAGTTCCGGTCCATTTTATTATGATTAAAAGGTATGATTCAAAAAATCAACACTTATTTCAAAATAACGCGCATGGGCGTACTCGAAATAATGCGCAAGTCAATTAATTAACGCGCAGGTGGGCGTTATTTTGGGTCTATACGGTAAGAATTGATTACGAGCCCTGATCCAAACAATGAACTTACGCCAAATGCCTATTTTTCAAAACTAAGCGCATAAATGAGCACCTAAAATTTCCAGGATACACGTAGGGCGTATCACTAATTTTAGGCGATAACATTTTCTTATTTAAAATTCTTGCGTATTATTCAAAATTATACGCGTGAATGCATAAGCACATATGAATTGTATGCTAGGCTCGCATCTAATTAGAAAAATTATTCTTCTTAACAATTCTTTTCTTTGTTAGCTCTAATAATAATAATTAATAAAGGTTAGAAATTAATCATTATTTATTAATTGTAAAATAGAATGATTGAGATAAATAAAATCAAATCCTTTTTTAATAAATATCTTCGTGTATTGCTTAGCTCTAGTAAAAAAAATATATTTAAGCGACATAAATTTATTTTTTTAATAAAAAATTACTTCGTATAATAAAGACAAAATGTCTTCTAGCAAACGCAAAGATAAAACTACACTTACTAATAAACAGAGACAAGACATCATCACATATAAAAGTAAATATCCTAATATTAGCAATGTCGAACTCGTAGACTGGGTAAAGAAAGAATTTAAACTTGATGTTCATCCAAGTACTATTGGACGCCTAATAAAAAATAAAGAAGATATCGGAAGTAACCCTGCTGCAAAAAGACAAAGAACGGTTCAACATCCAGAACTTGAAAATACATTACTCGAGTGGGTTCTACAAAATCAAGAAAGAGTAATTTTAAGCGATGCAATTCTAATAGAAAAAGCAAAAACTTTTGCTCAAATGTTAGAAATACCCGATCTTAAGTTCTCACAAGGCTGGCTATACAAGTTCAAAAAAAGGCACAGATTAGGACGGGTAAAAAAGCATGGAGAAGATGCCTCCGTGGATGATGCTGTTGTTGCTGCTGCCATTCCTAAATTGAAAGAATTATTAGAAGAATATGATCTAAAGGATATTTACAATATGGACGAAACTGGGTTATTTTATCGGTATGACAAATCGTATTGAATTAATTAATACTTATCTTCTTTAACTTTTTTTTTTTATTAGTCTTGAACCTGATACTACTTTAGCTACTAAACGTCTTAAAGGAAAAAAAAAAGATTTAGAGCGGTTAACCTTAGCACTTTGTGCTAACGCTGATGGTACAGATAAAATAAAAATATTTGTAATTGGTAAGTCCCCCAACCCACGTTGTTTCAAAGGTGTAAATCGTAATGGACTTGGTGTTAAATATGATGCAAGTCGTAAAGCATGGATGACAACGATTTTGTTTCAAAAGTGGCTTAAAGAATTTGACTTGAAGATGGCTGGCCGTAAGATACTTCTTTTATTAGATGGTGCAAAAGTTCATTCTACTGCTAATTTAAATCTTCGTAATACAAAAGTTCATACCCTACCTCCGTATACGACATCCCGCATTCAGCCTATGGACGCTGGCATTATTATGTCCTTCAAGCGTCATTATCGAAGTTATTTTATAAAATGGTTACTTGACAAATATGAAGCTGAAAAAGATGAAAAAATGAATGTTCTTGATGCTATAAGGTTTATTGCTCGGGCATGGAGGGAAGTAACACCAGAAACAATACGTAACTGTTTTCAGCATACAGGAATTCTTCCAGATACCCAAGATAATGAAGAATCCTTCGTTGATGATAATGATGATGAATTGATGGATGAACTTTATTCAGATATTGAGGCGCTTAACTTTCAAAACATTATGGATCTTGAGGAATATATCGATTACCCAGGAGAAAAGGATACACATGAAGTATTGAGCGATAAAGAAATTTTGGATCTGGCCACCAATCTTGAACCTGAGAATGAAAGTGCTGAAGATGATGACAGTACAGAAATGCGTCAAATCAGTCATCAAGAAGCATTAAATGTGGTAGAAATACTTGACCAATATATTGTGCAGAATGATTTTAGTGAAATAACCCAAACTGAACATGACGAAGCTTTACTGAAATTGCAAAAAGAAATAAGGAAGCTTCGAATTGCATCTTTCAAGCAATCAAGTATTGAAACTTATTTTGAGTTGGTTGATTAGATCGTGGCTTTTACACTTATCTTTTTAAAAAACAGAGTCTTTATAATAACACTGGTCTTAGTCTTTATTTTTTTATAATAGAACTTGATATTGGAGAAAAAGTGTTAGCAAAGTCTCAAACTTTAAATAAATCATAGACGTAAAGTAAAGCATTTTTTTTGTAGATCGTTGTGATCGTTGTGATACGTATCTTTAAGTAAGGCGCTCGTTCAATATATAAATTAAACAGCTATATATGACTAAATTAAAAAAGAAAAAAATTTACGTAGAGTTAGTGTTAGTGTAGTAAATGTGAGAGAAAAAGAACTTTAGTAGTGTTGGTGTAGTAAATGAGCGAAAAAGAACTTTACCATATATACGGAATAATTGCCGCGACTTCTTAAATAAAAATCATGGATAAGATTTATTTAAATAGAATAAAAAAAAAAAAGCGGTTTAAAAATATTAAAAGAATTAAAAGACTTAAAACGGGCGAGGATAAAAAAGATATTATGTTAAATTATTCACGTGATTTTGAATATATGATTGGCTACTCCCTAATTGCAACCCCCCTAAATGCACGTCTCAGAGCCTGTCCCGATGACTTGCATTTAGGGAGGGTTGACTGTATGTGAAAAAACGTTCTGCTTATAAAAATTAGTGACACCAAGTGCCAAATAGTAGTGTGTAGACTAGCTCTCAAGACCCGGTCAGTGACCGGATTTGAGTTTTTAATTTTTTGCTAATTCTTAGATTTTAATTATATTAACTATTAGAACCTAGGTTGTTTAAGTTTTTAATTTTTTTTTGTTTTAGGTTCTAAAAAATAATCTAAATATTAGGTTCAAGCAAACCTAAATTAGGTTAAAGCAAACTCAACTAGGTTTAAGCAAACCTGCATTGGGTTTAGGCAAATTCAAATTAAGTTAATTGAACCCAATTTGGGTCTAAGCAAACACGAATTAGGTTTAAGCAAACCAAACTGAGTTCAAGTGTATTTAAAGCGAGTCTAAGTAAACCTGAATTGGGTGCAAAGGAATCCAAATTTGGTTAAAAAACCCAAATTGGAGTCAAAGAATTCTAATTGGGATTAAAGAACCCTAATTGGAATCAAAAAATCCAAATTGGAGTCAAAAAAAACCAAATTGGGGTCAAAGAACCCAAATTGGGATCAAAGAACCCAAATTGAGATCAAAAAACACAAATTGGGATTACAAAATCTAAATTGAAGTCAAAGAACCTGAATTGGGGTCAAAAAGAACCCAAATTAGGTCAAAGAACCTGAATTGTGTTCAAAGAAACTCAAATTGGGTTCCAACGAATCCAAATTGGGTTCCAATAAACCCGAATTAGGTTTAAACAAACCTGAATTGAGTTCCAATAAACCCGGATTGTATAATTTCGAATTTTGGCCTAAATTAATCTTAATTCGGGCCGAAATTCGAAATAACGCCCTGTGCATTATTTTGTAACTATACAATATACTTTTATTATTTTTGAAAAATGGTTTTCCTTTACTAAGTAAACCTCTTTTCAAGGTCTAAGCAAAGTTGTATAGGAGCATCTTGCAATCAAAATGGCAGTAAAAATGTTAAAATTGGCCTGGTGAATCAGGAGATATAGGCCTTTTTGTCTTTGTAACTACATGTTTCTTATTTATATAAAGAAGAAACATATAGTTGTGAAGACAAAAAGGCTTTTATATTGCGATCTATTGGGCTGATTTTAACATTTTTACCACCATTATGATCGCAAGACACTCCTCTACACCTTTACTTAGAGCTCGAAAAGAGGTTACTTAGTAAGTAAGGAAGAAAAACTCCAGATTCAAAGGAGAATAGTAAATACACTTTGTGTAGTATCTTTGCTGATCTTTATGTTCACACATTTAGCCCAAGATATCTCAAGAACCACTAGGCCGATTTTAATGTTCTAACTGCTATTTTGGTCGCAAGAACCTCCTCTACAACTTTACTTAGATCTTGAAAAGAGGTTTACTTAGTAAAGAAAAAGTTTTTTTTTGAAACCCATCTTTTTAATATAAAGTCTATAAAATTTTTTTAAAGGTAACACAGACCAATGAAATGCATGAAAAAACATCCTGCTTAAAATAATTAGTGACAGAGAATTGCCAAATAGTAGAGGGTAGACTAGCTCTTAGAACCCGGTGTTGCTCGGGTTCGAGTTTCTAATTTTTTGCTAATTCTTAGATTTTGAATTCGAATTTTTAATTTTTTGCTAATTCTTAGTCTGTAATGATATTAGCTTTTAAATTATATTAATTCTTAGAATTCAGATATTGCCTTGGGTTTGAGTTTCTAATTTTTTTCTAATTCTTAGACCTTAATGTTATTAGTTTTTAAGACCCAGGTATTGTTTCAGGTTCAAGTTTCTAATTTTTTGCTAATTTTTAAGTCTAAATCACAATAGCTTTAGAACTTTGTATTGCTTGAATTCAAGTTTCTTAATATTTTTGTTTTTAAGTCTCAACTATTCAAAAGAACCTAAATTGAGGTCAAAGAACTTGAATTTGGGTTAAAGAACCTAAATTGGGTTTAAAAGAACCCAAATTGAGTTTAAAAAATTCGAATTGGTGTCAAAAGAATCTAAATTGAGGTCAAAACCCCTGAATTGGGATCAAAGAACCCAAATTGGGGTTAAAAGAACCTGAACTAGGTTAAAGAACCCAAACTGGGTTCAAAAGAACCCAAATTGAGGTCAAAGAGCCCAAATTGAGGTCAAATAAACTCATTTCCAACAAACTCAAATTGGGTTCCAAAGAATCTAAATTTGGTTTTACCTAACCCGAACCTGAATTAGGTTCAACTGAACTTAAATGTAGTTCAAATAAACCTGAATTAAACCTGTATTGGGTTCTAATAATTCTGAATTCGGTTTAAAATTATTTTTTTTTATATTTTTAAATTATTTTTTATTTTTTATATATTTTAATTTAAATTATTTTTTAATTATTTTTTATTTTTTTTATATATTTTATTAATTTATTTTTTTTATATATTTTTTATTTTATTTAATTATTTTTATTTTTATATATATTTTATTGATTTATTTCTTTTGTATTTTTTAATTTACATAAATTACTATTTTTTAATTTTTTTATACATTTTTAAATTATTTTTTAAATTACTTTTTTTATTATTTTTACATTTTTAAATTATTTTTTATTTTTTTTATATTTTTTAATTTTTTTTTTTTCCTTTGATAATATTTTTTTAATTATTTTTTATTTTTTTATATATTTTATTATTAATTTATTTTTTTGTATTTTTTAATTTAAATTATTATTTTTTTTAATTGTTTTATACGTTTCAAAATTATTTTTAATTTTATATATATTTTTTAAATTATTTTTTTATTGTGATGCAGTAAAAACATATGTCTTAAAATTCTTACTCATTAAAGTAAACCTAAAAAGGTTTGCATAATATTTAATGATACTCTTATATTCACTTCAAAAGAGGATGTTTAATTTGGCAGAGCCAAAGTATACAGTTTATTCAATATGTGCTTTATTAAAATATATGTAAGATACCTTTACATATTAATAAATACTATACTTATATATTCTTTGCGAATCTTCTAAATCTAACGAATTTAATGATTTTACTAAATCTGCTATATCTGACTAATCTAACAATTCTACTAAATCTACTATATCTGACAAATCTAATGAATTTAACCAATCTACTAATATTATTTAATTAATTACATGCAATTTTTAAATAATTATGCAATCGATTTACTAACTTAAGCTTTATGCATTAACAATTAATTCTCAATCATTACATTATATTTTTTTAATTAATTATTTTTTTTTTCAACTTCACGTTCATATCAAGATATTGATTATTTGCTTTAAAAGCTTCGAGCATTGAAAATAAATTATCTATTTTTTTTAGATCGGATTGAAATTAGTTGAGAATTCATTGTTTATGTAAAAATTAAAAAGTAATGCTTGAGCGACCTTTATCAATGATAAATTTTGAAGAAAAAAGATGGTTTGTGGCTCGCTGACTTGTTCATCGAAATGGCAGATTACTTGGTTAAATTATTCAATTTTTGACTGTTAAAGATTCGCCTCCGATCCACTGAGTGAGATACTTGAGAACACTATAATTAAAAAACTTCCCTCTGATTCATTGAGTGAGATGCTTGAGAGCATCCAAAGTTAGTGATTTTTGCATGATTGGTTACATGTTTCTACAGACCTTTAGAACATCAACTTACTCGGTACAGCAATATTATTAAATTTTTGTCTGTATGTATATTCGACATACTTGGTATGGTTAGTTTGTACGAAAATTTATGGAAGAACACTCTTATTAACCAATAAACTTTAACAAGAAATATTTAAAAAAAAAACTCCTAGCGCATGAGCAGGTGCAAGGCTTGTTTAAATTATCCGCTATTTTTTTTTTTTTATTGATAAACAAGAGTGTGGAATTGTCGAATTGATGATAATTTATAATTTTAGTAATTTCACAATTCCAAATCATGTGAATTGTGGAATTGCCAATTTTATGATTTATGCAAACACATTTTTGACATTGTCCTTGTCTTTTAATTTTTACTCTTGCACAATTATATATTAAGATAGAAGTATTGCTTTTCATGTCATAATTTTTATACCAAACTACTATAAAGTAAGAAATTTTTTCATTGATATAATAAGCTACGCGTTCTATACCTTAATGATTCATTCTGTTAAAATATTCTTAACTAATAAAAAATTACACATTTTAATCGATTGATAAGAGTATTTGAGGATCATTTTAAATAGCATTTTATTAATTAAAACATTAATTATATTTTTAGATTTCACTTTTAGTTTTCACTATTCAATTCTTTCATTTTTTTTCCAAGTTACATCTTTATCAAAGAGTTTTAGTTTCACTTTCTGTCTCACATCAGTTTTAAATTTTGCAATATAATTTAAGGTTTGGAAATGTGTGTGATATTATGAGTTCTAAGGTTGCAGTAATAGCATAGCAGCCTTAGAG